CATTCAAGAATGTTACTGTGCGCGCCCAGCAACTTAAAGTAGCCGTCCCATTCAGCCTACCTGTCTGCATTGCAGGGACAGCTGGTGGCCCACAGCGCTTGCGCGGTGCCGAGCTCATCGAGTCGTGCTCGCTGCAGTTAACGGACGACGACACCGCGATCTGGCTCAGGACAGCATTCGTGCTGTGCCAGCCAGATGATGGGTGCCGCCATGGGTTTGCGCCAGGGCTGTCTGTCTGTGGCGCTGTATTCGCCGCCACACAGCAAGCTCTACTGTCATTGCCCTATACCATGGGATCTTCCCTGTTCCCTGGGGCCTTGCAGGTGGTAAGGGGAGGCCGCCGAGGCTGTCTCTACCTTTAAGGACTCAAAGCCTTTGTTGAGCAGCCCTCCGCCTCGCCATCGGTGGTCCTCCCCGCTGCCCGCTATCCATTACCCTTCTGCCTCGGCGGCGGATGTTGTTAGCGGGCTGCCCTTTGCAGTCCAAGCGGAGCAGGGCTTGCGCGAGAGGGTAGCAGGCAAGCCTGCTCCAGCGCAGCAGTCTTTTCGGGGCAAGGGGAAGCCAGCCCCGCTTCCCACTGATTCATTCCCCAGAGCCCTTGTTGCCCCCTACTCACGCAGCGACGAGACTTGCCGACGGTGGTGCACTGCCTCTTGCCACACGCCCCTGTCGGGCGTCCGGCCTGTCCCTATTCCTCCGGAGTGGAGGCAGCCACCTCAAATCCCTGGGTCCTGTCCACGCCAGGGATGGCCATTTGCCACAGTGGAGGCGCCGATCCTCCGTCCTTCTCCGGGTTCGCACACACGCATAAGGCGAAGTCCTCCGTGCCGAGGTTCAGCCTTTACTGACCAAGGCGCCATCGAGGTGGTTCCTGTGAGTCAGCGAAGAGGGTTTTATTCCACCTACTTCCTCGTGACCAAAAGGACGGAGGGTTCAGACCCATTCTGAATCTCAGAGGGTTGAACCAGTTACTGGAGGTGCCGTTTTTCAGGATGGAGACACTCAGGTCAGTGATCTCCTCCGCCGAGACAGGGGATTGGCTTACGCCAATCGATCTCAAAGACGATACCTCCATGTTCAATGCACCCGAATTCAAGAAGTACCTCCTCCTCTCCTTCGACGGGACGTGTTACCAGTTTTCGCGTGCTCCCTTCGGCATCTCCACGCGGCGCCAAGGTGTCTCACCAAACTTATGCTAATCCCAGCTCAGTTAGCCAGGTCTCAGGGCAGGTGTTGTCACCCGCACCTGGACGCATTGGCTTCTACAGGCCTTAGGGCCTCAGTTAAGCAGAGCCTCCACACTGTGCGTGCTGGATACTCTGGTGTCACTCAAGGCTTGGATTATCAATCTCAAGAAATCAGACCCGCCCGACGCAGGATCTGATATTCTTGGGAGCCAGATTCAACACGCGCTTAGGGATTGTTTCCCTTGCTCGACCGGATCAGATCGCCAAAGTCCGGCGACTACGAGATTATGCTCATAACGCCAGGAGTGGTTAATCCCTCACTTGCGATGTAGGGACGGACGCCGGAATTTGTCCAGGGGATCCCCCTCGACACCTCGACACCTTCCCTCTCAGTTCAGACGGACGCCTCCCTCACAGGTTGGGGGTCCTGGCTTAGCACTCAGCCTCCGCCTCTGGTCGGAGCGGAGGTCAGCCTACACATCAATGTGTTAGAACTGAGAGCAGTCCGCAAGGTGTTCGAAAAGCTTCCGGTGTTGGTGCAGGGCCGTGGTTCGCCTAGAAATGGACAATCAAACGGCCATGTCTTACATTCTCGCTCAAGGCGGCACAGTGTCTCCGCCGCTTCCTTCAGGAGGCGTGGCAGTTTCTACTGTGAATGTGCGATCAGTTCAACATTCGGTTTTGCCTGTTTATCTCCCCGGGTAGACAACGCCCGTGCAGATGCTCTCTCACGGCAGATACTAGCCCCACACGAAGTGGATGCTCGACCGGGAGATATTCGGATTATCTCCCAGTTGTTCGGTCGTTTCCAGGTGGATCTGTTTGCGCCTGGGGTGACGAACCAGATTCCTGTGTTTTGCTCCCGGATTCGATCCGGTGCTAGCCAACGACGCCTTTCAGCTAGATTGACGGACAGGGTACTGTGGAGCGTTCCCCGATACCACTGGATTTCCAGGGTCCTGTCGCGAGCTGACCGCGACAACCTGCTCGCCACTTGTGCTTCTGGCACCCCTTTGGTCGCACAAAGCTGGTTTCCGTAATTCTCAGGTTTCTGGCTCAGCCTCCTGTTCTCATTACCTTTTCGACCGACCTCCTATCCTAGAACGGAGCGCATACCAATCCTGCAGGATTCAGTGGGTGGCTTGGCCGCTATCAGGGATCGCCTCCCGTGCGAAGCGAATTCCTGCACCAGTTGCAGACACAATTCTGGCTTCATGGAGGGATTGGCAAACGCTCAATATGAGGATAGATGGCCCTGTTATTCTCGCTGCTGGTGTGTCAACAGGGGGATTCTTGATCCCTTTCTACAGATTTAGTCTGTGTGTTAGAATTCCTCCAGTTCGCTGGAAGCCGGTAGACCAGCTTCCACTGTTCGGGGATATTCTACGGCTATTTCTGCATTTCATATTCCTGCTTTGACGCTGCCTCTTTGGGGCAGCACCCTCTTGTACAGCTTTTAGCAGGTGTGACAGAACTGGTCCGGTTGTCCGTTGTCCTCATGGATTAGTCCCTGTGGGACTTGTCAATCGCTCTTGATTGGCTGTCCGTCCACTGTTTCACAATCTGTCGGCTCTTTCCCTCCAGCTGTTGGACGTGGAAGACGGGCTTCTTGTGGCGGTGACTTCTGGCAGGCGTGGGTTGGCTTATATTCACTTTAATGTCGGCCGATCCCGGCTTACTGTTTTCACAAAGACAGAGTTAGCATTCGGGTTGCCTGAGACTTACCGTCCTAAGAAGGATAGTCCCTTCCATGTGACGGCGCTTCATTGAGCTCCTCCTGGTAGCTTTCACTCAGCCTTCCCCTGTCCGGTACCTCTCTACGGCGACGTGCTCATACGCCTTAGATGTCCGTGAAGACACTTCAGGCTTATATCAAACGCAACAAGGGGGTACTCGTGAAGGGTAACCAATTGTTTTGTTGTTATGGCATGGGTTCAGGCTGGTCTCCGCCACCAAGCAGACCATTTCTCGGTGGCTTGTCTCTGCCATACATATGAGTTATATCAAACAGGGCGATCCCGCCTAAGTTGGGTTGAAAGCTCATTCGGTTAGGCAGTAGCTACATCGACAGCTTACGCCGCTGCCCCCCTGCCCATTGAGGAGATCTGCTCCGGCTGCTATTTGGAGTCAGGTCCCGCAAATGCTCATCCGGCATTACCAACTTGACAGACTCTCCAGTGAGCGTGCTCGGTTCGGCTCAGTCAGTTCTCTCCAGTGGGACATGGTTCCACCTCTCTAGCCCATTGAGCTTCGAGGTTTTATTGTGTGAACCATTATCTGCCAATTTTTAACACTGGTGTTGGGTTTGCATAAATCTTGTTACATTTTCCCTTGGTGATGGGTTTTATGTGGTGCTGGTTTTTTATTCCCATGTCTCTTGCTTCTAACCGAAAGCTCTAGACTAAACTGCCCTTTGGAAACTTTGCTGTTCATATTCCGCATTTCGCTTCTGGGTTTATTAGGGACCCTTTATCTTCACTTCCTGGTAGATTACGGGAAGGAGGGGAGGGTGTGTCTCGTCACATTTACATGAAGCGTAGGTTTCTGGCTGGACAAATTTGTGACACGTTTAACCCTGACCCTGGCTCATGCCCCTACTGATTGGCTTTGGTGGACACGCGACCGGTAAGTGTGCTTTTCTGCTATAATTAGCTTGGGAAATTCCACTTTTGTCGGGTGCTTAAGCAGACAGAATGCCGCCCTGAGATCCGTCCTTTAGGAGTCTGTCTTATGCTTATAAGTACCCCCAAGGAGGAATATATAAAAAGTCGAACTAACCTGTAGAGGTTCTAAGATTCTTTGAATATATTCTCCTTGGGGTACTTCACCCACCTCCTCCAAGATTCTGTCTGACTTCTCGTCAGCATGGAAAGTGAGGTAACGCAGGTTACGCTCCTAGAGTTACCTGCTCTTGGCTGTAGGGGGCCGGAAGGCCCTGTAAGGGTGGTCTCACAAGACAAAACGTATTGTTACAACTGTCGTAGGGAATTTAAATGGACATTTAAATGCTTATAAGTACCCCAAGGAGGAATATATTCAAAGAATCTGAAACCTCTACAGGTTAGTTCGAATTTCCAGTGTAGTGGTCAGGACTTCCAGTGGGGAGCACATGAGTGGAGTAGAGTCCTCTTTACTGATGAGTCACGTTAGTCTTCAACAAGCTGACAGCAGGATGTCTGGGATAAATTGGAACAACATGTACAATGTCATCGGAACCCTCCAACAGCATGGCAGGAACTCTGCTAAATCATTTCTTGTATATGGGTACAATGTGCGAAGCCCATTTTGGTGTCCCCCATCGTAATGATGCTGGAATATTGCTAAAGCGGGGTAAAACCATACTTACTCACTCACTCACTCACTTGTATATGGAATGACCTTCCCCATGTTTGGTAGCCCAGTGAGGGTAAAGGTGCCAGACATGGATCAGTGCAGAAGATGGACTCACTCTTGTCTTGTTGCTCATCTGCATATTCCAGGTGCACTGTTCTTATGGACCTTTGATCGTTATCACACCTTGAAACATTTATCGTTCCTTTAGTAACATTTGAGTCGTGACAGTAAAAGTTTAACAGTGATTCTGTTTGTTTTTTGTGTGTCACAATAACTTATGCCTTTGAGTATATACATTCACTTTGTCAAAATGACTCAGAGACCTTTCCTTCTGGGGTCACACACAAATCCCTACCATGACTGACAGCTGCAAAGGGAGAGACTTTGTCTCAGTTTGGTACCTGGCTGCAGTTTTCCAAAGCATGTCAGTTTCTGTTGGTACATGGAATTAACATTGACAAAATGGATCTTTGTTTTTAGAGGCTGAAATGAAAAAGCGAGGAATTGTCACAACTACTGCCGGAGGTCTCCAAGCTGGCTACATCATCCATGTCTCTGGAGATCACTTCACTCACGACTGGAAGAAAGTGATCACAAAATGTCTTGAAGAAGCTGGAACTCTACCAAACGTGTCATCTATAGCATTCCCAGCTCTTGGAACAGGTATGGTCAGATGAAGCAGATGAAGACAAGGAGTGGATTTCAATCTGAAGTATTTCCTCAGTTTACTGTGCATATACAAACAACATTGTATTGATTAAGTTATTCAATACACTACTTATACATGATCACACTAGATAGCGTGTTATTGTATATATTCAGTACTACTCTGTTACATCCCTGTTGTAAGTATGGTACAGTTTATAAACTGCATATAAATATACATGGAGAATGTTGTAAATGAGGTTTATATTTTGAACAGGTCAAGGTAATAGGACCCCTGAAGACATGGCCACTTGCCTGATTGCAGCAGTGAATAATTACCAGAGTTCACCTCCAAAACACGGAATGATTACTGACATTCGAATGGTGATCTTCCAGAAAGACATGCTGGACCCATTTGCTGCAGGAGTGATTAAGGCTCTAACTTCCAAAAAGAAAGGATACTTAAGGAAAGCCCTTGGTAATCATACATTTTCTGCAATAGTAATTCTGCAACCCATTGATGACTGAAGCCAGTGTGTGTCCCCGTCACCCAAATTATTGTTGTAAGATTGGGGACTGGTTGCCTCCCTTGATGTTTTATGCTAGATTTGGTCTATAGTCATCTGTGATATTGGTGTGCTGTGTGCCAGTGTACAGAACAGCCTTAGCTCTAACATGACTGTGTACAATGGCACTCTGGTTGTAAGACAAAACTGACACTTTGTTGGTATCGCATATCAACATGGCTTGATCTTGTATGTAGGAATATATTTATAATGTCAGTCACAGGATTCTACACTCACTTATTTACAGGGCATTATCATATGTCAGGAATATTGTTGAGATTTTTTCTTATCCTGACGCATGATCTTTTGCTTATCTCCCTTTCCCTTTCGAATGGTAGTGGAACACTTGAATCCCTTGAAGCTCCCGAAGCGGACGTACAATACTCACCCACGAGTAACCTCCTTCCTCTTTTCCCCACAAGAACGTATTGCCATGTGGCGTGGCCCAGATTCTTAGTCACTCTCACCGTGGCGAGCACAGGAGTCCTGTATACGGCATTAATTTCATTTACTTTTAGGCCTATTCTTCCAAATTTAGCTGTGTATGGTTTTGTTTGGAATTACGATGTATTGTTTGTAAATAATTGTTGAAATTTATCGACTTTGAGTCGTATATTCATCGTGTTGTAACTTTGTTTACAACTCCTGAAATCGTGTTGTGTGTGTAAACACAGGTTATCGTTGTCTGATCCTCATCCCCAATGTCCTTCATGTACAGATCCATGTTCATCCACCTTGCGTTATATCTATTGTGTTGGTTTAACTGATTTACAATTTAATCAGCATCTGTCTTATGTTTATAGAAGTGCCATGGATCGGGTGAAAAAGTCATCACTAGTCACATGTTACACGCTGCTGAAGTTCATAATTGTAATATGTTGCCTAGTACATTGCAGGGCCAGTCTGCGGCTAAGGGGACTAAGAAAGGTCGTCCACATTGCAATCTACGTCGTCCCAGTCAAAGCATAAGACGACATCTTCTTCTACTACGCAGAAGAAATCTACAAGCACTAGATCTGAGGGTAAATCTACATGTGCTACAACTGTTACGCAGAGATCTTTCAACAAGGAGATCGTACCACCTCATGAGAAAGATGTATTTGACGACCCCCCCCCTTCTACTACCTGAGATCTCGATGACATCCATGACACAGTCAATGTCTATGACTACTAGATCTTCACCTATGAATATCACAGCAGGCCAGGTAGTGGGGATAAGACCTCTTCCTTCGAGGATAGAAGTTGAGACACAGAAATCAGCAGCACAGCCGGTTCAGCACATGCAGAGCTTCGACCCAGGGGAGTTCATGACGCAGTTTACCAACAAGATGATGGAGCAGAGATTCCAGCAAGAGGCAAGGAAGTCCCTACAGTCCTCCGACAACGTGCGCAATCCCTCCAGCCTGCGCGAGTCTACACCCATCAGACCTACATCTGCAACTGACGTTGGCGAACTCTCCGCGAAGGGTTCAACATCTGGACGACTCCATCATACTACAAGATAGTCAAGATGATACGGAGGCCATGTTCGCGAACCTCTAAGAAGATTGCCTCTACGTCTAGCCGATCCAGATCTAGATCACCCCGCGAAGACACAGCTCACCTTATGGAGGTTCGCGAAGAGGTTCGAGAGAGAGACATTCGCGAATGGAACGCTCCCACGACAGATTTTCGCATAGGGAGGAATCATCAGCTGCAGGTTCGCGAACCCAGGAGGAAGGTTCGCGAAGGGATACTGGCTCACACAGAGATACGTCATTCAGACATAGCTCCTTGGCGCAAGACATCGTGAGAGACTCGTCTTCTCAGACTCTGAAGTAGCGGCGGATTGCTACGGTTTGAATTTAGAGAGTCCCTCTAAAGATGGGAATGAAGTCTACACCTACATGATGAAGAATGATGACTTCGGCTAATAATCCCACCCGGATTGAGCCTATATCTAATGTACAGGACAACTTTTGCTGCCTGCTACTTGAGGCTACCAAGTCCCAGATGCAGCAGCTGCCATCCTTTAATAAGAGGAAATTCCCCCTACATCAGTTTATCAGATATCTAATGTACAGGACAACTTACGCACAGCCTTTGCGAAGGCTACCAAGTCCCAGATGCAGCAGCTGCCATCCTTTAATAAGAGGAAATTCCCCCTACATCATATGGATCCTTTTGCAAAGGCGCCAGAATGGGACGACAACATTAAGCTGGTCAATGATGCCAAGACTAAACTATATTAGGTGGACGATAAGAAGCTATCACAGATAGATACAGCTACTAGAAGATCTTTCTACAGACTAGCTAGATCTAGAGCCATCAACGAGGCGCTGTTACAGAAATTCCAGAATTCCACTACGGAAGAGGATAAAATGATTTACTTCCGCCCCTGTTACATCGTCAAGGCGGAATCACATTAATGCGTAGACAAGGTCTACTGGCGTCCTGCTCCTGGAATGACAGATTTACACAGCCATTATTACGAACTCCATGGGAGGCGCCTACCATATTCGGAGGTCTTCTGGATGATGCAGCTAAACAAGCTTCACAAGATTCCAGAGAGGTGATGATGATGAAAACCATAGACACCTTGGCCAACGTCATCCGCCATACATCCCAGAGGTACAACAACAAGTCGAAGTACGCTGGGATACAGAGAGATAAAGACAGAAAGTACTCCAGCTCCGGAGGCGGGAAGGACGCTTTTCGTCGCCCTTCAGTCAAGATACAAGCCATGATTCCACCAGCAGTCACCTCTCCGTTAACACTACGATCATGGCAAGTTCTACTCGGTCTGCTAACCTCGGCGCAAGACTTGACGCACTTAGGAAGGTTACATCTAAGACCGCTACAACGGTTCCTCATAAAGCATCTGGACAGTGTCGACTCTATCCTGCTGCCCGAAAACCTCAAGAGGTATATACTATGGTGGACTCACAGGTCGAATGTCTGCGAATGAGCTCCATTTACAAGAGCCGCCTTCAAGACACACCTCTACCCGATGCCTCGTTACAAGGATGGGGAGCACATCTCAACGATCAAGTAGCGTCGGGAAAGTGGTCTCATACAGAACAAAAGCTCCACATCAATCTACTAGAGATGAAAGCCGTGATCAACGCAGTACAACTATGGTCGAGCTTGCTGAACAACAAAATGTTGATGATCCACACAGACAACTCCACAGTGGTGTTCTCTATAAACCGGCAAGGATCCACAAGATCACCAAGCCTATTGCAGCTCACATTCCAGTTGTTCCAGATCACGCAAAAAGCAGACATCTGGATAAAGGCTTGTCACATACCCGGAGCCAAGAACGTACTAGCAGATGCTCTCTCAAGACCACTACACCTGTCACCGACAGAATGGATGCTCCATCCTGTGGTGTTTTGGAATATAAGGGAAATAACATTCCCTTCCAGAGACCTGTTTGCCACGAGGTTCAACAAACAACTGCCGACGTTTGTCTCACCAGCTCCAGATCCTCAAGCCTGGGCAACAGATGCGCTAACCATGTCGTGGGAAGGAATAAATGGCTACGCTTTTCCACCCCCGATACTACTACCAAAAGTACTGATCAAGATCAAACAGACGCAGACGCTGCAACTGACTTTGGTCGCGTCTTACTGGCCAGCGAGAACATGGTTTCCAGATCTACTAGAAAACCTAGGAAGCCCAGTAATCAAGCTTCCAGAGTGGCCGAACCTACTGATACATCCGCACACCAAACAAGTCCACGGGAACCCAGCAGTGTTCCAGCTACACGTGTGGACCGTATCAAAACATGTTTGAAGAAAAGAGGATACTCCGCCAGAGCAGCCAAAGCAGTAACACTAGCGTTACGCAGATCGACTCGCAATCTTTACGATGATAAATGGCTGAAGTTTGAAACTTACACAAGGGATTCACAGCAGTGAAAGCCACGCATCCTCAAGTGGCGGAATATCTATGTCATCTGAGACAGACTAGACATCTAAAATGTTCGACCCTATCGACTTACCTGGCCGCTATCAGTACAGTGATCACTATGAAAATAGGCATCAAGTTGACGAAAGTTCCAGAATTACTTGCTCTACTGAGATCTTTTAAGCCTGGGACTTGAATGTAATTCTGGGTCATCTTACCAGTGATGTCTATGAACCACTAAACAAGATCATGATCGAGCTGCTGACACAGAAAACCCTATTCCTGTTAGCGTTGGCCACTGCAGCTCGCATATCTGAAATACATGTGCTGGACTATGGTCGAAAGACGTTCGACAAAGGGCAAAATAATACAGTTCATCTAAGACTTAGATGGGACTTTATTGCCAAGAAGCAACTACTAGTACCTGGTCAACCAGATAGACAATTCCATGTACCAGCTCTATCTACAGTCCTCGGCCCACAAGATAAAGAGGACTTATCCTTGTGCCCAGTCAGAGCCTTGAAGATATATCTTCAAAGGACTAAGACGAGGAGAAGGAAATTCAAGCGCCTATTCATCCCATTGTCAACTGAGATGTCAGCTGAAGTCTCAAGAACGACCATATCGTTCTGGATGAGAACCGTGATATTGAGAGCCTACAAAGCAGCAGGACATGAAGTGAGAGCACTGGCGTCAACTCTAGCTCCACATGGAAATTGCTCTATACCGACAATAATGGAGGGCTGCTTCTGGAAGTCGGGTACAGTGTTTGCTAACCACTACCTCCGAGACATAGCCACTGAAGATGTCTCAGGCATTCACCAATTTGGGCCTCTCGTTGTAGCACAGCAACTAACGGTTCCTTAAAGGCGCTGAGTTGAAATCTCACCCTTTATCACGTTGACTTGTAGATGACTTTTACTAAGAAAAAGTATTAGTTTGAAAGTCCATGCGCATAATCTAAGACAGACTAGCATGAGTGATTAAGATCCTGTGCGGGTAATAACCTTACCTGCACATAAAGGGGTTGCAACTCATTTATGATAATGACCTTATCATAATCCATGGGTTGTTATAGATATCTAGTATAGGAATACTAGTTTATCTAAAAATGCACGTGAATCTATACGATTCAACTTGTCTGAAGATTGTTGTAAGACAAGGAGTAGTCCCCCCGAGTTACTACGCAAGTTGGAAGAATAGGACCACGGAAATGCCGTTTGCAGTTCCCATGGGGGGGATACAGGACATATCTAAGGACAGCTGTTGAATCCAGTGGCTTGACCCACCACCATGTTTCCGACGGATTCTATATGCAAAAGATCATGAGTCAGGATAAGAAAAAATATGTAATTTTTCAAGTAAAATTTATATTTTTATACTTATCCTGACTCATGACAAACAAGCCCTCCCAACCTCCCTGCAGAAGACACTTTGATCTCACAGCAGGTCCACGTGCATGGGCGAAATTATATCGAGAGAATGACAAGTCTGGGCATGTCACATGGTACGTTTGCGCGGGAAAGAGGATGGGAGGTAACTTGTGGGTGAGTATTGTACGCCCACTTCGGGAACTTCAAGGGTTTCAAGTGTTCCACTACCATTCTGAAGGGAAAGGGAGATAAGCAAAAGATCATGAGTCAGGATAAGTATAAAAATATCAATTTTACTTGAAAAATTACATTTTTGAATTCTAAATCAAACATGCACAAACCTTTTGCTATTCAGGATTTTCATTTTTTCATTTCCATGGAAACATAAAGGACTTTGACTCTTAAGAATAGAGTCTTTTCATTGGGCGAGAGATTTCTTATGAAACTTCGCAAGCTCCTAGGGTGATCCAGGGATGGCTGATGTGTGAGGTTATGTTCTAATCAAGGTGATTGGGTAGCCAAGTGCCTGAAGCTTTAGCTCTTCATTTCAAAGACAGAGGTTAAGTACCCCACATGGGTAAATGTTTGAAGCCCATTTCTTGTATCCCCGCGCTGTGATATTGCTGAAATATTGATTAAAGCAGTGTAAAGCCCAACATACGCACTCACTCACTCTGATCATAAATACATGATTGTCTCATCACAAATGTATGATCAAGTTGTTGTAGCTGGCAATGTTGGTATTTCACCATTGTTTTACAGACTATGTTTGGGGAGGATCTACTGGCAAAACTGAACGTGTGGCACAGCCAACAGAACAACCACTGAATGATATCACCCTCTACTTCTTCTCGGATAGCATGGAACATATTGACCAAGCAAAATCCATGTTGGAAGATGAGTACCACAATAGTACATTGACAAGGCCCGTATTTGATGAAGCACTCAAGACTTTGACTACACAACAGGTGAGTTAGTTTATAGGTGAAGATCACTGTTCTTTCCACAGTACAAATAGATACTTGTGAGTGGCAAAAGTCCTGACAAATTATACTAGGCACATAAAGAAACTGTGCATACAAAATTTAAAATCTAAATTTATCAAACCTGTGTAGACACATAAGGATTAAAACTCAGAGATTAGTGACATGTATCCAACATGCATGCACGTGCCACGTTCCGTGACGTCAGTGGTTTCGTCCTTGAGACGTGCAATACGTTGTTGCACGTGCATTCCGGGAAAGAGAAACAGAGCAAATGAATGCCACACAATACTGTCACTTTGGAAAGCTCAACCCCTGCCCTTGCGATCGTTCAAAAAATTAAACGACTGTTGAAACTCATAGTATGCCAAGGCTCTTGTCTGCGCAACGTCATGAGGCCATTGGGATGGTCCATGGGTGAATGTCTCAACGACAAGTGCCTGTATATTTCACTGCCACCGGAACACCATTTCTGCACTGGTGAGACGCTACCAGAACACAAATTACGTCATCGATCGGGATGTTCTGGACGTCCACGTGTAACAACGCTAGGACATATGGATAAGGGTGACCCATCTTCGCCGCAGGTTTTAGACTGCAGTGATGACTGCCAGAACCAGAACCATCCCAGGACTTCGCTGTATCCACCCCAACACAGTTCGACAACGTTTACGTCATCACGGGATCAGACTACGACGTCCCTCCATACGGCCCATCCTGACACAACGTCATTGACAAGCTCGCCGAATGTTGTGCCGAAATCATGTCTGCAGACCCTTGTTTTGGTGGAGAAATGTTGTTTTTACAGATGAGTCCACGTTTCACATTTCCCATAGTGATGGACATCAATGTGCCTATAGACGCATGGGAGAACATTATGCACAGGCCTGTGTCTTGGAGAGGAATCGCTTTGGTGGTGGTTCCGTGATGATTTGGGGTGGAATAACAGCACACTAAAGAACTCCTTTGGTGATTGTTCAGGGCAACTTAACTGGTGTGGGCTACAGGGATCAGATTCTTCGACCTGTGGCAATTCTTTTTCTGCAACATCATGGCCCTAGGTTAACATTCCAACAGGATAATGCCCGCCCTCATACGGCAAGGGTTGCTATGGATTTCTTGCAACACCACAACGTTGACTTACTGCCTTGGCCTGCAAATTCACCGGATCTCTCCCTGATAGAGCATGTTTGGGACGAGATGGATCGACGTCTACGCCGTCTTCCTCATCCGCCAGATAACGTCCTTGACCTTGCAACAGAACTTGAGAGAATCTGTCGTGACATCCCACAAGCCTTCCTTGCACGTTTGATAGTCTCTATGCATCGTCAATGCACTGCTGTTCTCAATGCCGATGGACATACCTGTTATTGAGCTTGTGACATGGTCGTTTGACCCCTGTCCCACTTGTTGACTCGTGACGTCATTGTGATTGACTTTTCAATTGAAATTCTCCCGACTTGTGATGGTCTCATGATCCCTCCATTAAAGTTTATATGTACCTTTGACATTGTTATCGTACTTATCAACTGGGATAATATTTTGACAATGCACAGTTTCTTTATGTGGCTAGTATAATAATGAACATAGCTGTTCACATCCCACAGAGAAGAATGGAATGTGATTATCCTCACAACAACGAAGTTTTCGGGCATATAGAAACAGTGCATCTGTCCGTGCGTCCATCACACTTTGTCCAAAGCATATCTGCTAAACTATTTGTTATAGTTTAACCAAACTTAGTACACATGTCAAGCATCATCCATAGATGTGCCTTTTGGGGGTTAGAACCAGATATGAATTGTATTTTTTGCTTTGCTGTTTCCATGGAAACATGACTTAGGCTGTGACTATGAGGATGTCATCTTGTCCGGAGCAGATCTTCCAAACTACACATGCTAGCTTCATCAAACTTGGTACACATATTAAGCATGATCCATAGATGTGCATTTTGATGGTTAGACCCAGATACAAATTTTATGTTTTGTGGTTTCCGTGGAAACATGACTTGTTCTGTGACTATGAGGATGTCATCTTGTTGCATTTCCATGGCAACTAGTTAGGCTTCAACTGAATTTGGTGGTAGTGCTCCTTTCTGGAGCAGATCGTAAAAAACTTTCAAAACTGTCCTTCCACTTTGCTATATACACTCCAAAACATTTGATATAATCATAACTGGTAGACATACATGTATTCATAAAGAGTATAAATTTCCTTATCCTGACTCATGCTTAATTGCTTGTCTCCTTCTTCTTGCGAATGATAGTGGAACACTTGAATCCCCTTATGAAGCTCCCTTAAAAAAGCGGACATAAAATCACTCACCCAGTGTTATCTCCCTTTAGATGTTTTGGCGGGAAAGTCCGTCACATGACCCAACATGCTCTTCACTCTCTCCTTCTTCGCCCTTGAGGACGGTTGTGAGAGTGCCTGGGTCCCCTATACAGCGTTATATCCTTTTATATTTAGACCTTTACTACTAAATTAGCTGTATACGGCATTTAGGATGATATACCAGCAATATGTTTTGAAATTTTTGTCTAAATTATCTGTTTATTCACCTTATTGACATGATTTTTCATCTTGTTTACAATTGATGAAAACTTCCATTCGTTGCAGGTACTAGTTATTATGTCCTAATTGTACTTCTCTATGTTCTTCCAGCTTTCGCTGTCAACTTTGTCAGCTTTTATCTGAATTTGAATTTAATAATTATTTATATTCCATTCTTAGACGTGCCAAGGACAGGTCTAGACAGCTTTTACAAGTCATGTTTAAACCGAGTGATTGCGCTGATATCCGTTTATTGCTGTCTGCTGACATTCACCATTCCAGTGATTTACCGGCTGCTACTACGGAGCATGTTTCTGTGGCTGATGGGTAGCTCCGGCTCCAGGAAGAGGTCGTCAACATCATCTATAACCTTGTCACAGTCTAAGAAGACTAGGGCATCGTCCTTCAGAAGAAGAAGTCGTCTGCAGATAAGATTCTGTCGAAGTCTTCCCATGGGGCAGCGCACAAGACGAGGTCTTTCGCTGCAGAAATCATCCCTTCAGACGAAGTAGACGTATATGAGGAGCCACCCATCCTCATTCCTGAAGTAGCAGTGAAGAAGAAGACGAGGTCCTCGTCTACAGTAACATCAGCAGTCATCTCAGTGCAGTCAGACGTTCTATCAACGCAAAAATCAGATAGAGATGGCGGGTCTTCACAAGTGCAGCAGTCCTTGGCAGAAGCCTCAGCACTCTCAGATGCGTCGCCCTCATTGCAGCAGCAGCAGCCGTCGTTGCAGAATTTCAACCCGGGTATCTTCATGCAGCAGTTTAACAGGAGATGTTGGACTTGATGGAACGGAGGTTTGCGCAGGAGAAAGCTGCGACGAAGGTCGCATCTACAATGAGCCTGCATGAATGACAAGCAGCCTGCAGATCGCATCCCACAGAAGATAGTAGCCTGCACGAAGGAGGAAACCTACGTGAAGGATCACACACTCGACTATGACTCGACGACACACTCGAGAACCTGCCAGCCTGGACAACGATGAATCTGCAATAGATATTCCAGAGGAGCCTTCGCACATACCATTGAAGAGAATCTACACCTTCACGAAGGCACAGAGATACCAGTCACCTGCGTGCAGGTCTCCATGCAGGTCTCCAAACAGGTCTGCACGCAGATCTCCACGCAGGAAAGAGACAGAATGGCAACCATCTCCAGAACAAGAAGCCTCTAGATCTGAAGATGATGGCAGAATCATATTCTCCGATACAGAGATCAAATCTTGGATGGCAAATGGATTGGAACTTGCATCACCTTCTAAAGAGGATAATGAAGCATTCATGTATATGATGTCAAACGAGGACTTTGATACACTTACCCTTCCACCCATCGATCCTGTCTCGGATGTACCGGAGAACCTCAGCACAGCCTTCAGGAAGGCAACGAAAAGTTCCAGAGTCAAAGCAATGCCAAGAAGTTCTCACTTCACCACATGGAACCCTTCATGAAGGCCCCAGAGATAGATGAAAACTACAAGATCATCAACAACTCCCAATCTAGGACTTATAAAGTACAGAATAAAAAGTTGGCACAACTAGACCCAACTACCAGACGTACCTTCTTTGGTCTAGCTAGGTCAAGAGTCATCAATGAAACCCTCATGGCGAAGTTCAGGAACTCAACCTCTGAAGAAGATAGAATGATCTACTCGGCATTACTAACCCAGAAGTTTATGAGGATACAGAGAGCCAGGGAAAAGAAATACGGCAGCTCCAGAGGAGGCAAGGATTCTTTTCATCGCCCAACCGGAGCTCCCAGAGGTAACCCGGGAAAAGGCAGGGCATCCAGAGGTGCCAGGAACTTTAGACGCTGAAGGACGGGTTCAGAACGACTGGAGTTTTCCAACTTCAACGCCTTATAATAAACGCCTTACTACACTGGTCCAGCATACTAAGGAACGCACAACTGATGATCCATACGGACAACTCCACAGTGGCGTTCTACATCAACAAACAAGGATCAACAAGGTCAAGGAATCTTCTAGACCTCAGCTTTCATCTGTTCAGCATAACAGACAACCTGAACGTCGACTTAAAAGCTTGTCACCTTCCCGGAGCCAAGAATGTGATAGCAGACGCCCTATCTCATTACATTCAGAAGCATTCAGATGCATCATGCAGAGGACAGGATCTCCACTGATAGACCTGTTTGCTACAAGGTTCAACAAACAACTACCAACATTCGTCTCTCTGGTTCCGGATCCACAAGCATGGGCAACAGATGCTCTAAGCATCTCCTGGGAAGGACTAAACGCTTATGCGTTTCCACCTCCAGCTCTAATACCGCAGGTGTTGCAGAAAATCAAGCAGAGGAAGAAGCTGCAACTGATTTTGGTCGCGCCCTACTGGCCAGCGAGGGTGTGGTTTCCCATCCTCATACAAGAACTCAGAAATCCAACCTTGCAACTCCCAGAGTGGCCGAACCTA